CTCAGCAAATAGAAAAATTCCGGAGCTAGAAAAATTCAAACTGTCCCCCAAGAAGACAGTCAACACACACACACACACACACACACACACACACTACTACTACTGTAATAGGTGTATGTATGCTACGACTTGAATACTCACTATTTGTATTTCCCGCTCGTTTCCCTTGGCAATGAGCCACTCACACAGAAGAGCGCATGCTCCAGGTTCTGTTCTGTTCTAGCAAGAGTAGATAAACAAGAGTGTGCAACTCCGGATCTCTCCTGCACAATCTGCAGATACCCCGCGCCCACGGCGGAATTTTTTGTTTACGTCACCTTTTTTCAGAGAAACGCGGCTTTGCCGCAGAGCAGTGTGAGAGCACGTGCTGGGCACCGACCTTGTAGTGTAAAGCCCAGCCAAGTGCACGAGGGAAAACTCTCCAAAAGGCTCGCAGCGCGTGCGTCATCGAAAAGATTACGTCAACAAAAAATTCCGCCGTGGGCCAATCCATCCGGAGTTGCACACTCTTGTTTATCTACTCTTGGTTCTAGTCTAGTCTTGAGTTGTCGTTGTCCTGTTCTCCTTCTGTCTACACTCTTATCGAATACTTCTATAAACTATCCAATCATATAAACCCTTGTGTTCCGGTGTGAGGGGCATCATTAGCCGGGAGCAGCTAACACTGGTGGCAGCGGAAAACGTCCACCACTACATCGCTGGCGGAGTATGTACGCCTTCGGAGATCGCCGACTATGAAGAACCACGAAGGCCCACGCAAGTGAAACCATATCCTCATCCACTCTCTTCGTCAATATTTTCCTATCTGCATTGTGTTTCTTTCTGCTCGTCGTTTTCTTGTTGCATGCATTGTTTACCATGGTTTACAGTCCATAGGTCAAGCATTGGCGCCAACCTGTCTGGCCAAACATTTTCGGAACATTTTCTGTGTCCGTGTTTTGTGCATACTGGCTGCTGTCTAGTGTCTTGTTAGGATATCTGCTAGCTGGGTAGTAGAGTCTAGCTACACTGTGTCCGTAGAGTAGTTGCCTATTTGGAATTGTCTCTGCCAAATTTAGTTGTTTGCCGCTACGCACGATAGGTTACGTAATAGATTGAGATCGATCGATAGTCGATCGAGTCCACGGGAAATTTTTGCAGATAATTTTTTTCGAAAATTCAAAAATACAAAAACAATTTTTTTTCACAATGGGCCGTTCAGCGAAATCCAAGAGACAAGAAAAGCTAGAGCGTAGCTTCGCTGAAGCTGGCTGTGACATGAGCATTGCTGAAGAGCGCGAGAGTTCGCCGGTACAAGGGTTGTCCCATCGTTTTCGTTTGCCGGACACAGACACACCACATGCACGTCCACTGCCGAAGCCAGTCTTGCTTCCTGAGACATTCGGAAATCAGCCAGGCCAAGATTTCACCACGTACATGAGGCATTTCGTCCACACATGCGAGCTGAGTGGGTACGACGACGACCAAAAGCTACGGCTACTACCTGCTCGCCTTGTTGGTACAGCTCATGAGATGTTCACCGAAATTCTAACTCACACGCCTGACATGAACTTTTCCGACACAGTCGAGGCTCTGCATGTCCGTCTTGAGCCGCCCCAGCAAGCATTGATGCACGAGGCCAGTCTTCGCCAGCGAGTGAAGCTGGCGAGTGAAACTCAGCACGGGTATGCCACGGAACTTCGTCGGCTCGCTCGTCGAGCCTACCCAGGACAACAAGGTGCACTGCTTGATTCAATGCACACACACACACACACACACACACACACACACACACACACACACACACACACACAACTACTACTACTATTGACAGCTGCCAGAAATGACCACGCCGCTCCCCAAAGGGAGGTACTGTCAGAGAGGTTAGGGGAGAGGTAGGCAGTGCTTCAAATGGCGCTCCAGGTCCTGTCGCCTCCGAAACTGGCGTTGATTACAGACTCGGCAATGATGTTCAAAGTGCTGGCGATCAGTCACTGTAGGGCGCTTCGGGCGGGGTCCACAGCGATGGCGCTTGAGGCCAGCAGTAGACTTGAAAGTACGCTGGCAGGCAGTAAACACCGGGACCTCGGCAACAGGAGGAGCATCACTAGGCGGTCGGTCGTCACAGTTGTCACTCTCTTGGCACTTATGCACTGGAAGCCCACCCCTGCTCCGGAGCCATCTACTGCAGGCAGGACACTGCACCGACCCAGGCTGCTGTGGTACGGGGAGCTGTCGGACTGCTGTGCACTTGTGCCGGGCCATGTCGGCGTGCCGACGAAACAGGCGGCCGCAAATGTGGCACACGATCGTCTTCGGGGCAGGCTCCTTCACCCCCGCTGCTGCCGACACTATGTCACGCCACTCTCCGCGATCGTTGGCCGATTGGAACCAATTGTGCACACCGGCCACAGTCAGATCAGCCTGGACAACGTCCTTCCAGCCACACACACACACACACACACACACACACACACACACACACACACACACACACACACACACACACACACACACACACACACACACACACACACACACACACACACACACACACACACACACACACACACACACACACACACACACACACACACACACACACACACACACACACACACACACACACACACACACACACACACACACACACACACACACACACACACACACACACACACACACACACACACACACACACACACACACACACACACACACACACACACACACACACACACACACACACACACCTGTCCTGTCCTGTAGAGCCACTGCCACAGGGGTCACGTGGGCCCCGGAGGGGCATCAGAGAGGAAGATGGAGCACGCAGCCTGATGACGCCGGAGATGGTGGGGCAAACGGAACCGGCGAGAACACACGCATACATGGTTGAACGAATTACGCTGCTGGGCAGTCGGGCGCGGGCCAGTCCTCGAGCACCGGTGACGACCGCAGCCTTGCACAGACCGAAAGCAGCGGGCACACACAGCACAGTGCGCAGCACAGCAGGCATCTTGCACATAGACTTGCCGGGGCTCGGGAGGCTGAGGCTGAGGTGCGGAACAGCGGTGAACAGCTAGACCACCCTTGCTGCGAAACCAACGCCCACAATCTCCACAGTGGCAAGCCCCTCGCTGCTCAGCAATCGGCTTTGCCCGCTCAACCACACATTTGTGGCGAGCACAATCTCCAGGGCGCGAGAATGACCGATTGCAATCCGCACATACCACTGGGTCAGGCTGAGGCACATTCTCCACAGGCTCGGCGTACATAGTCCGCCAGTCAGCACGGGACTCACAGGCGATAGGGTACCATTCCTTGGTGAGGCCACGAACTCTTACACACACGCACGCACGCACGCACGCACGCACGCACGCACGCACGCACACACCATTGGACCATTGACCATTGGACGCCCATCGCCAGAGGCGATGATAGCGATGCTACAGCAGAAGCCATAGCAACTTGTGCTGGGATTGCACCATTCAACAGCTTGCAAGGCTGAAGAATTGACCACCACTATTCAGCCTGGTCTACACCACACAGCTTTGAAGTGGCTTTTTTTCTGGCCAGTGAATCCCTACTTTTTGGTCTTTTTTTCTTCTTTTTTCCCGCACACACATCACACCACATACTCCGGCATGCACTGGCTGTTGGTAACCACCCAGGAGAATGAAAGAAAAGTCAGGAAGAGTCTGAGAAAGAGAAGAAAGACGTGTGTGACCATAATCGTCGGGAATCGAACCCGCAGCCTATCGATTGGAAATCGCTGCACATACCACTGCACCATATGGGACACACACACACACACACACACACACACACACACACACACACAAACACACACACACACACACACACACACACATGCACATACACAAATACATGCACATATGCAAACATGCACACACACACACATATATATATACACATATGCACATGCACACACGTACACACACGCACACACACACACACACACACACACACACATACACACACACACACACACACACACACACACTGTCCTGTCCTGTCCTGTTGACCCACTGCCGTAAAGGTTACGTGGTCCCACTACAGGAGGAGGGAGAGGAGCATACACGCCAGTGCCGCATCAAGACTCTGCACAGCCAAAGTGCCCGGGAGCAATGCTGACACAGTAGTGAAAACTTGGTACGTTCTTCCATTGTTGGGCGGACCTGGCGAGGTCTACAGAAAGCGGGCTGGCTAGCGATTGAGTTGGGCTGACGTTTGTGGACAGCGAGTCCTCCTATGCTACAACACCATTTCCCACAATCTGCATATCGACATGCACCACAGTGCTATTGCGCTGGATTGCGACGCTCCGCTGTGCACTTTGGCGCTTTAAAGGTCGCTTGGTCTAGAGCAGACCTTACCACAGACGGAGCACTGAACAGGGACTGCTGCGGCCAGTTTCTTATCCTGGTCTGTGAATATTGAATCCATTTGTGAAATCCAGGCAGAAGAGCCAACAAAAGGCATCTCTTAAAATATTTTGAATATTCTTTTTTGAACGTATAGGAGTAAAGAACAAGTACGCAAGCGCAGCACATTTTCGACGAGCATCAGCCATTTCTCTTGGCAAGCGCCTATTCAAAACAGTCAGAAATATCAATATTTACGCCTTGATCCTTGAAGGGTGGTGGCGTTCCTACGGATGCGGAAACTAACTGAAATTTTTAAAAATTTCATAAAATTTAATATTATTTTTATTTTTCCCACACGTATGTATAGAGTGAGGTTCTCAATCCATGCTTTTGCTGTAGCTCTATACGTTGCTGTATTTTGGGACATTTTTCCATTATTCCCTGTATTTACCCATGATTAGAAGGGAACGAAAAACGTTCGGTTATTATATTGGCTAACTTGACTGTGTGGATTGCGTCGGTGCTGACACTTTTCTTTCGAAATTGGATACGCCTCCAATTTTGTCCTTAAATATTATGGTAAAAAGTATTAATTCAGTGCAGAAAGATACTGGGCTCACCTTCTTTGCAATAAGAACTCCACTTGTTTCCACCCCTGCATCTCATAGGCAGGGTACCAGCTAGACGGTATCGATGGGTACAGTCGATTGTTGCTCTATTGAAGGTATCACCAACATATGCGAAATTTCTGAAGCTGGCATTTGCTGTAGGGGGATCGCAATATGTATACTCTGCAGAAGAAGGTACACAGAGCATTCAGAGCTCACACAAGACAAGCCATTCTGAATATATTGTTCCATTGTTCTATTGTTCTGTTGCCAGGGTTACCGCCAATCAGGGACCTTTCTTTGTGTGCACTATTTCTCAACATACGAATGCTGAAAGGGGTGGCGATCCCTCACAAGTTATGCAATTAACAGTCAGAAGTGGTACAACAGTTGTTCAGAGGTGGCATTGAAGAAATAGCTAATGCTGATTGTGGTGTATTGGAACTCATGCGAAGTCTATACAGGTCCTCCCTCATTATAACGAGTCTGGTTAGTACATATTGATAAACCCCGATAGTAAATAGAAATCTGAAATCCCCTGGCGAAACGTGGTCTATACAACTGTATAGGAAGAGTTATGTTGGAGATTTTCAATTATCTTATAACGAGTTGAAGCATCGATAATTTATGTTGTATCGAGGGTAGCTCCGGTAAGTACGAAGTAGTGCCTATTTCACCTTTCGTTGTAAGTCCTGCTACAAGATTAGTCTCGTTATAAGATAACTTTTTCGATGGCCCAGAGATTATCTACTAACGAGGGAAGACCTGTACCATGATCATTTTTGTGAAAAGTATGTCTTCTTCTCTTTTATCTCGGATAATGAGCCAGTAATTAGTGTAAATTAACCCACATGCATGCATGCATGCACACAACAAAACTTATGAATTATGCAAGAATTATGCAATAAACCAGAAGAGATATCTCTTCACAAGTAGGAAAATAAATGTGTACGTATTTTTCGGAGTATAGTGCGCACCCCCAATCTTCATTGAGGGTGCGCACTTCAATCTTCATTGAAGTACATGCATTTCATATTCGGAGCATAGTGCGCACCTGCGATTTAGGGCCTAAAATAGCACGTCTAAAGTGCGCACAATACTCCGAAAAATACGGTAGGTGCCCGGCAACAACAATCGGGCAAGTCACAGCAATGTACGTATTGCAACTTCAATGAGACACATACACAGTTGACCACCCATGCCTCAAACCGGCGAGTCAACTACATGGTGGCCCGGCAACTTCAAACGGGTCCAACGGGGGAAGGAAAGCGCACTAGTTTCGTCATCATCCAGTAACTTTCGGCATTCTCTGTTGCCGTGATGCGTAGCTCATGCTCTTTTTCGTTGCGCTTTCCTTCCCCTCTTGGACCTTTCCGAACCTGAACCTTCCAAGTTGGAAGGTTGTTGGTTTGCGCCTTGGAGAAGTGTTGGAGCTAGGTGTCAGGTCGCCGAATGTCTCAGTACTCCTTGTCAGTTTTGTGCCATTTTGTCGCACTCGCTGACTGTATAAGATCTGGTTACGTTGGTGGACAGTTAGTCATAACTCGTAACATTTTGTCCTTCTTCTTTTCACAATTTTTATTATTATCATCCGCCATTTTCGGAAAAAAATATTTTTTATTCATGTGTCGCGTGACGAACCCGTGACAAACATGTGCATGCGTGGGCTATCTAAGCTTTGCTGCTCAAAGCCGTCATATAAAAGAAGAAAACACAAGGAAATGAGTTATGAAGCAACTAGCCATGACTGTAACAAGATAATTAGCAGCCGATAAGTGCGATAACATGGCACAAAACTGACAGCCTACTGAGAGATTCAACGACCTGAGAACTAGCTCTAACAAATCTTCAGTGCAAAACGAACAGCCGTCCACCTGGGAAGGTTTATGATTGGGTAACGACTTCCTCGTGTTCTCCCTCTCGTGTGAGGCTACCCGACGGCTCATCATAACAAAGTTCGGGACGTTCTGGTAGCCATCTTGAGGGATGTTGCGCCGGACGTGGAGATCGAACCAATACTGTTGCCTTTCGCTGGGGAGCAGCTGGCAGGCAAGACAGCCAATCGCGCTGAGGAGGCTAGGCTGGACACCAGGGTTTGTGGGTTTTGGACGCAGCAGCAGGATGCCTTTTTCAATATACGGGTTACACACCCAAGGTCGGACCTGCTGTCGTGCCAGCAAATCACCAACCGGTTCCAGAAGAATGGGAGGCAGAAGCATCGCAGCTACAGTGAGCGGATCACACAGATCGACCGTGGGTCTTTCACACCTCTGATGTTCACAACTAATGGCATGCTCGGCAAGGAATGCTCCATCTTCCTGAAGGCCTTGGTGTGCCAGATTATGAAGAAGAATAGTGATTTAGCATATTCTGTCGTTGTAAGCCAGTTGCGATGCCGCCTTTCATTTTGTTTGCTTCGGTGGTGCATCACCTGCCTGCGAGTCTCTCGGACATCATACCGGTCGCATCGATACAGTTTTGTGAATGATTGCAGGATGAGATGACAACAGCAGGACCAGGGGCACGAGATAGCAAAGACTGGACCATCGGCTCAGTTGACACACGGCACAACTGATGCTCTGCCTCCGCTAGCTGACCAGATATGCCAACTGCCAAACCACCAGATTTCACGGGCAGGGACAACAATTTCCTAAGGTCACCCTTAACCCTTTACCTTCTGACCAAAATTCCCAGGCAGTTCCAAATGCGATATTTCTCACCTCATTTTGAGAATATCTTTGGTTCTAATCAACCAATTTTCACAATCTTGGGCATTCTGGAAAGCTCTCCACGAGCTGCGTACAATGAGCTCAAACTGGACACTACTGAGATCACATATCCAACGCCAGGGTGCTTCAAATACTCCCCACCGCTGGGTATCCGAGAAAATCCTCTCCTCGTCAGCCATTTCTCACTCCTTCATCGTAAACATTTCAAATTTGTTTGCTTGAGTTTCTTTTTATGCTGCCCACGCGCTCAAAACATGCCCAGGTGACTCAGCATGTCAGGAGAGGGGAAATCCCCAGCTCAAGGCCAGTCACTCAGAAAAAAATCGACTTTTGCCGTGGCTGAAATGTCGAGCGCGATATCTTTGAATTGCGGCATCGCAGCTCTTTGCCGATTGTTGCAATTCAAAGCTAGGCTCTTTGGCTTCTTCCTGCATATTTAGTTTTTGAGATTCCGTTAGGAATTGATCATGTGAGTTACGCAAGTTTTAGTGCATGCATGTCCATCGACCAAATTCGGTCGATTCATGTACACACAGAAGATAACGGGTTAACAGGCAGAGTGTGACCTGTTAAAGCAGGGAGAAGACTCCGGACAATGACCGTCTCCTGGGGCCCAAACAATTGGGGGTCGGCAGCAATAACTCTCTGGAGGAAAGTCCACCTTGACTGAAGGGATGAGTTTAACAGGTGATAAGCAGCCTGGGGCTGCGTCATGGTAACTGTGGACAAGCGTTGAATGAGGCCAGCACAAATCTCCATACGCTCACGAACAAAATTGTCACAAAAGCCTTGAGTGCCGACGGCTTCTCCAAGATATCGAACGCCGTCTGTGCGAACCGAAACACCGGTCCCGGTAAAAGCCTCCTTGGCACGAAAAGCTAGATTGGGCTTTGCCGGGAGAACGGTCTTTTTCGGGTTAAGATAATACCCATACTTTGGACCGACATCGGATATCACCTGGCAGTACGACAGCAACGCCGGTACCTTGTTTGCAGCAGTGTCATCATCTGTGTACCACACTTGTCCCGCAGAGGGGCAGACCTCCTGCAGATGCCGAACGAGGGGAATCAAGGCAAAAGCGTAAAAGGCCATCGCTAATGGGTTGCCTTGACAAATACCCTCTCTCGTCTGGATGACTTCACCACCGTCCCGAAGAAGTGGGATGTCGCTTTGCTACGTGTTGATGAACACACGTCCGGCAGCAGGACATTTCCGGGGAATATTGTGCAATGCCACAGCCTTGTTCACTGCGTTGAATGCATTTGAGGCATCGATAAGTAGAACGGCGTCAGTGCTCTCCCGGCCGTACAGACTGGACAAAGCCTGCATTCCCACCTCGCATGCAGAAGGAACTCCCGCACAGAGTAGGAGCTTCAGGCGAAATTACTGGTCAGTCGGCGACACGCATTTTTCACCAAAAAATTGCATTTCAGCTGCTGGGAGAGTATGCGTGTACTCGAGTCTCATCCTCAGCATGTTTTTTTCTTCTTTTTTCAGCTCCAATAGCTGTATTTTCATTGCAAAGCCATCCTCGATTGTTGTGTTCGTTGTTCAAACGAAGTGGACATTCAATCACGAAGGCAGAGGACATAGGAGCCTAATTGGAGTTTCTCGTGGCATAGGACGCCCCCATAGAGACACTTTGCGATTTTCGGAATATAAAATACCGTACGCACGATGCTGAGATCAATTTGTGCGATATCAAATTGTTTGTGATCTACCACATCGAGCAGAACGGGATCCAAACACAAGCTTACCGACGGCTAGGCTGCCGACCTGACTGGACAAATGATCCTGGCTTCACCAGACGCCAGAAGTCGGACACCATGTCCTTTGCCGCGACGTCCATCTCCAAAAAGAACTCCATCTTTGTCGTGAAAAGACTTGAAATATATAGTATTCAACCGAGATTCGCGGTCTCACCCTTTCTCAGATCGAATCATTCTTGTTGTTGTAGCAGTTGCAGGGCAGATCCCCGCCACTGCTTCAACAGGGGTTTGCTTCACAGCATGTCTGGAACAAGCCATATCGAGGTTGCAAGCCACCCCTCTCAGCAAGAAATTCGAAATTTCAATGGTGGAAGATATACTATGAAGAGAATTTCAAAAAGTCTGGTTCACGGAGCGATCGCTCAACCTACGTTATTCAAACTTTGCAGGATGGTTCAGACCTACATGCTAGGCATGGAACCACAGGGGTTGATGTCATAGCTGGCACACAGAGTCGCACACACAGCAGATTCGTGTGCACAGATACTAAATTAGAGGACGTCGTCATCTTCTTCCCGCTGGTCTCAAATGCACTATGACGTGCTATTTCGAAGGACGAGGAGCAGTGAAAGCTGTCACATCAATGTCAATGACTGACATACCGTATTTTTCCGGTTATAAGTCGACCTTTTATGACTGAAAATAGCAGAAGAAAAGGTGGGGGTCGACTTACAACCGGGATTCGACTTATAACCGGGAATTATTGGTATCTTCCAAAAATAACCTGCACTGAATACACGAGTGCACCATGTGTATGCATTTTTGCCAAGTTTATTTGCCTTTTTCAAGGATTGGGGTGTTTCAGAATCCAATGAGGAGTGTTCATGTGATTTGTTCATGTGTTAGTAGCAGGGTGCAGTTAGCAGTGCTTCGTTGGGCAAAAACTTAAAAAACATAATTAAGACCTCCAGATACGGGGGTCGACCTATAACCGGGGTCGACTTATAACCGGTAAAATACGGTAATCGCTTTCCCGACTATGCACCAAAAAAATCGCCAATGGCGATTGCCCTCACACCTGGATGCTTATCCAGAGGGATTAGGGGGTGATTATATGTGCAGCTCCAGCCCGGGCTGGTCGACAGGCGGGCCAGCCCGCCTGCAACGGGATCCCGGGGTTATACACAAATCCACACAAAACCTGTGGTGCGTTAACATGGCAAGCGGGCTGGCCCGACAAGGCGGGTACCCGCCTCGAGGCACCCGGGATCCCGGCTAGGCGGGCCAGAAAAAGCACATATAAACAGACCAGCCCGGGCCAGAGTTGTATTATTATGGTATCGACACTGCGTTCATACTACAAAATAGGTACTTTTACCTCTTGAGGGAAGTTATAAAGAGGATTCCCGATATTGTCTTGAAAATCTAGGAAGCTTTTTGTACAGCAACAAGAAGGACGTGCAATGAGCACTGCTTATTTGTCGACATGCATGATTTACATTAAAATGGAAGGGGAACTACTTGCAAAATACTTTGATATGGACAGCTAAAAATATGAAAAACAGGAAAAAGAAACGAGGTGATACAACACACCAAACATGTGTCACAGCGCGAAAAGAAATCAGCAGAAGAATACATTGTGTGAGAAAAAAAGTTTTTATGTTTATAACCTGAGTATGGCTTGCAGCCCTGCGTCTCAGCCCGGGGCAGCACATTACAGTCGTAGTGTGTTTGCTGCATACTCACAACGGGCTGGCGTGTGCTCAGCGCATATAAACTCATTGCGGGCTGGCGACCAGCCCGGCCTTGCACATGTAAACACTCTTGGCGGGCTGTCCCACTCGCTCCAGCCCGGGCTGGAGTTGCACATATAAAAGGCCCCTAAGTCGAGCGGCCAAAAATGCCCGGAGATGTTTCGACTCGAGAACCTGAGTACATAAGCACTTAGCAGCATGAGCTAGAGCTGAGCATAAAGCATTGGACGGTTCATTGAATATGGAGACCATGCGTCGCCAAGCAGCTAAAACAAGGCCTGAGGGACCTGCCGTGCCTTTCATCGCCATGCATGACTTCCGGATATGGGCTGCTGTTATGTCTTCATAGAGCACACTCTCCGGAACTATCAGTTTGTCATCCAACAGAACACTTTCATCACCGTCGACAGGATCCGGGTGCTTTCCCTCAGGACATCGAGAACCGATCTAAGTCGAGCGGCCACCACCATTGTCTTCTAGATAATGGGTAGCTGTACCAATTCTCTCGCCATACACAATCTTGGCAAACTCAACGCCCTCCAGCTTCGTCCGAGATTGAGTACGCTTGTATGCGACTGAAGGAAAATGAGCTTGGATACAGCATGCCTCGCGGAGCAAAGCTGTCAAATTGCCTGATTTTCACAAGGTTAGGCACTTGCAAAGAAACTCCTTGTTGTCAGCGGCAGAGGATGTGCTAAATGGATGCTGCAAAAGCAAATGGCCCGCACCAACCACAGCCGACCACGCAAATGCTCTGGCCTCAGATCCGTTGCTAAACAGACAGATTAACCGAGCCAATTCAGCCACGAAATGTCCACCATCGTCGCCAAATGGTACATTAAATGTATTCCTTTTCCATTTGATCACCTCGGCATAGGCACTATCCATAAGCTGGGTGATGTCGCCATCCGGCAATGACCATAAACCAAGTTCATTTTCTCCACCATCAAACTGTGCGTTACCCGTGGGCACAACCTGCTCCACCCTCAGAGCGCGGCCCGCACCCACAGAATCCGATGTTGATGTAGAGATGGAGACGGGAGCATCGGCAACATGCACGCGTGACTGCGAGGAAGTGTCCACGTGGTCGCCACCAACAGCACTCGACGAGCAAGATTCGAACTAAAGCGCAAAGCGGAGATCAAAGTATTTTGATCCAAGTCCAACAACAATGAGCTTGAGCCTACGGTAACTGTGGAAACAGAGGAGCTGTAGCGAAAAGTTTGAATTGAAGAGGGCCAGAGAGGGTTATTATTTTCGCCACTAAAACGAACCCAGTTCTATTGCCAAGAAATTTATACCGTACTTCCGCACACATAAGCGTATGTGCTTACGTTCGGACATAATGGCTCACACATGACGGGTTTACGTGGCTCTAGTAAAAAGAAAAAGAAAAAAAGCACACCCCTCAATTATAGGCGCATGTGCTTATATTGCTGAAATACCCCTGAGCTGAATACACTTGACCACTAAGCATAGTGATAACACCATTCAATAGGACACAGACAAACCTGTATTGTGCATAGAAGTGCATGTGCTTCTACCCGGACATGTCTACACAGCAAAAAGCTGTTTTGCAGCAAATTTTCGCCTATAAGCACATGTGCTTATATGTGGGGAAGTACGGTATTACTGGAAAGGAAAACTTCTAAGTTAAAACAGATACGAGGAGAAAATTAAACCACGTACCAGCGCAAACGGTGCGGTGATGCTCTCTTTCATTACGGATATCAGCCTGAGTTGCTCCCCGATAGAATACGCCTACTTTTTCTCCTTGACTGGTTGCGGGTTTAGGCCTCCAAATAAAAACACCTTCAATCAAAGTATTGGCCTTCGATGCAGCACTAGTAGGCCAACCATCAAGCATATGGACTAAGCAATGACCGGTGATTAAATCCCCATCATATGACCGTAGTGTAGGCAAGTCCATTCCCCATGACTCACATAGCCGAAGTCCTGCAGTAGAATTCATGACTCGGCCATAACCTTTCGGATAGTGAAGTGTCAGGTTTTTGCAGTGATCAGGATTGGAGTACTGAACAACACCTGGACCTGGACCAGGACCTGCAGAAAATACGCACGACAAAGAATCTCACTGTCACCATTATGCCGGGCGGATGGGACTGATACATGTCAATGAAGGGCTTATTTTCAGGGGAAGTACCTTAAAATTCCGTTAGTAAGCCCCGGGCGTATACTTTGCAGAGCGTCAAAAGCCAGGCGTATATTTGGGCATGGGCTCGTTTAGGGCATGGGCGTTATTTCGGACGCAATCTGCAGAAGATCAATCTATCAGCAACCCACTAGTTTCAGCGAAGGTAAGCGCGACATGTTTTGCTACATGTTGTAGCAGTTTGCTACATTCCAACGGAACAGCGCTGTCCTGGCGCGCCGTGACAGTGTTGAGTTCTGCACTGTGCTGCGTGCAGTTGGATGGCACGCACTCAATCTACGACTGCTCTACAGTTTGTACGCGAACGCACGCTCGAGCGCTGGTCATTTTGAGTCCACTTTACGCCCTGGGCTTATTTCTGGCATGGGCGCTAAAACAGACTTGAAGTGCACACCGCCTAAAACTGGGCTTATTATCGGACATGGTCGTTATTTAGGGTGGGCTTATTTACGGAATTTTACGGTATACCCTAAAATCAAATTTTCACCAGTTGTAGTCTTCGGGTTGCTGAGTCGAATGGTCTTGGTCCGAGGAAGCTGAGACGCTCATTTCCTCCTTTATTTCTAATAGAACTCGCGCACTTCCACCGAAACTGGGTGACTGCGCCCTACTAGATAGGGATTTGTATGCAAAAGTCACTAAAAACGCCGTTTCATTCTTATTAAAAGCACGGACGACCGCGTTTGGTCCATATGTTGTAGTCTTTTGGCCACTGGGTGGACTGGTTTTAGTCCGAAAAGGCTGCGATGCAGCGTTCGGCCCTTATTCCCAATCGAACACGGTTGAGTAAGCGGTCACGTGCGTAAAGGGAGTCGTAAGAGGCTTTTACGACTCCTTGGTTCAAAGGTTCAACTCGAGTGACAGGAACAGGCCCAAACAGGCTGTAAATTGTAGCCTGAGGGCATGTTGACCAGGTGACTGGTGTACGCATATAAGCACGTGACCGCCTACTCAACCGTGTTCGATTGGGAATAAGGGCCGAACGCTGCATTGCAGCCTTCTCGGACCAAAACCAGTCGACTCAGCGGTCCAAAGACTGCAACATCTGGACCAATCGCGGTCATCCGTGCTAGTAGGGTGCAGTCACCCAGTTTCGGTGGAAGCGCCAGTTCGATTGGGAATAAAGGAGGAAGGAAGTGTCTCAGCTTCCTCGGACCAAGACCATTAGACTCAGCACCCCGAAGCCTACAACTGGTGAAAATTTGATTTTAGGGTATACTTCCCCTGTTATCCAGTTCCAAGGACTCCATGATGTTATCCGAAAAATAAATTCAGATGGAGAGCCAAGGTTTAATTTATACAAAAGAGAAAGACCAAGGAACTACAAGTTACGCTATACTGTCCACTAACACCACCAGTTACTAAACAATCAGCTCATGCGATAACATTGCACGACACTAACCGACGGTACTGACGTTCTACAACTAACTGGCTGATTTTTTAGTAACTGGTGGTGTTAGTGAACAGTATAGCGTAACTTGTAGTTCCTTGGTCTTTCTCTTTTGTATAGATAAATAAATTTGCTAAATTAATATGCGAAAGCATCATGTCAGTAAGTTGCTCGGCGTCAATCGCCACAAACAAATCATGACCACAAGGTGAGGGCATGGACAAGAGTGACTCTTGGAGTGGTCAGAAAGAACACTCATGTTGCCAGTTTTAATCAAAGTTTGCATTAATATGAAGAAGAGGTTGGTGCGACTTCGGCGATAGTAGGGGAAGAGTGTGTTGCTCCCTCCATGGAAGCCTTGCATTAATAATGTATAAAAAGGAGAAGGACAACATGGAATGAGATATGACTAACTGTCCATCAACGCAACAAGAGCAGATACAGTCAGCAAGTGTGATAACTAGGGCTGAAACGATTGTACCGATTACTCGGTATTTACTCGTTAGAAAAGATACCGAGCGAGTATTTTTACTCGCTATCGGCTTGAAATGAGTACATATTTTGATGATGAGTGTGTAAATATTACTATTATTCGTCCACTGGCGGCTCGCGTGTGGGGCCCTTCTGCAGTGATGTACAGTCAGTGCAGTCATGTTAGTTGACACGCATGACATGGCTTTGCCATCGTGTAGGTTGCCTTTGTAACAGCACAATCGGAGGGAGCAAATTGCACACCTGTTCCTTAGCAGATATCAAACATCCAATTACAATCTCAAGGAAGCTTACTTTGTGAAGGCATTGTCGTTGTAGGCGGGTTAGCTAAGCATAGATGCAAGCGATAAAGAAAAAACAGCAACAAAAAAACTACATCAGGCAAGATCAGATGGATGTCCGATGGTGTCGCCGTGCGACTACCCTGATCTAATAATACCCATGCCAGTTGCACTACAAACAATCCACTCATGACATCTTGCTCTAAAAGGCGAGCTGCCTGCAAACTTGAATCCATACAAGATTCTTGTGACAAGAACCTTGAGAACACGGGGTCAATCTTGGTGATCAGAAACGAGGCTGATTAGGAACGCGCATGCCTAATTTATACAGGCCAAGATCGCGAAATGCCTAATGACCGTACCATACTGCGCATGCCTATAGCCATTCAGAATATGGAAGGAGTGTGGCAAGGTCAGAAAAAGTAGGCTCTAGCACTACAAAGTGATAATTATGGAAATTACGATCGCGTTCGCGACAGACGGTTCACAGTCATTATTGCAGTCGAGCCTCAGTTCCAGATTTCAAAACGACACTCGACAAGGTTACTGTAAAGCGATAATTTTTTTACGATTGCCTAATTTTCAAGAATTCCGCAGTACACACGAAATCGCGAACAAATGCAGGCGCGAAATTGAAATTTGTGATTTGGGTCGTAAGTGCAGCCATTGCGTTACACGTCAGGGCATGATTTATCGGGTATCGCATCGCAGCTTGCAACGCAAATGCGCTTACAGTAAAGCCTGGTGTAAGCGACCTGTGGTTTTAGCAATCAAGTGCTTTTAACGACCGTTTTTCCATGCACAGACAGTTCTACACAGAAACTGCACCGGATATAACGACCAGCTGCCTTGCACGACCAGCGACCGACTTTTAGTGCACCAAGTGCCATATTGGACCTGCACACAGCAACCGAAAGTAACCCAAAGTGCCATCTTGGCTGCCAGGATTGGCTGCAACAGGGTTGAAGTGTGCTCTGGAGTAACGTCGAGTAAGTGCATGCAGTCAACAAAAATTACAAGTGACAATACAGGATGCGCTGTATGCACTTGGGTGAGGTGTGATTTGCCTGCACGAAAGTATTCTATGAGTAATACTGAGTTCCTGCTCGGAGGAGACGATGAGACAACTGACGAATGACAGCAGACAAATGAATCCTATTCAGGAAATTGGTGCCCTCATCAGCACAAAAAGGTGCACGTGTCAGCGCTATACAATGCAGTGTGTACAAAGAAGCGCAGTAGCGTTTACCATGGTTCAACAGCATGTACAACACCACCCTTAGACTCTGAGACCACCGCCGGAGCCACGGAACATAGCACCTGAGGAGACACGCATGTGTCATTCGATGACGCTCAGGCCGAGGCTTGGCAATGTGGTAGTCGTACAGGGAGAGGCTTCGCAGTCGGATGAAGCGGCTGGTGAGGTACATATCCGCAATCTACTGTTAGGTTTTCGTGCACTAACTTGTCTTTTATGCTGCGGTAATGTAGTTCGTGTGTGTTAGCATCCACCGATCAGACAATCATGTGTGCATTTGCCACGCACCGCTGCATCAGTGCTTTGCGCACTGCACTCACACTACCAGTGCATAGTTTTGGGTACGCTTAGCCTGACTTTGCACACCTCCTTCCTTTGAGCTTTTGCTCGCTGTACTCACACTGCCAGCGCATGGATTTGGGCGCGCTTAGCCTGACGTTACTCAACTGCTTCCTTTGAACTTTCTCTTTCTTTCTTGCCGTTGGCTTCACTTCAAAGTCTAATTAGTTGTGACTTTTAGCTTGTGCCAGCATAAAATATTCTCCCTCCATCCCTCCCATCTTATCCTCTTGCTAATGGTGCTAGGGAACATTTTATCTCTATCTCTCCTAACTGGTCATTTGCTTCACTAGTTGCGGCTCATCACGAGCCAGTTGTGGCTCTTCACGAGCCAGTTATTGCCAATGGCATTAGCTTTGCCTGGCAACCCCATTGTGGCACAACATGGGTATATTGCGACTCTTCACGAGCCAGTTGCGGCTCTCCACGAGCCAGTTATTGCCAATGGTATTGGAATTGCCTTGCAAGCCCATTGTGGCACAATGTGGGTATATTGCGGCTCCTTGCCAGCCAGTTGCTGTCAGTGACCTGGCATTGCTTTCCAGCTCTTCGAGCTTTTGCATTACACTGAGATCAGTTACTCGAGGCAACACACTATCTCCAAAACAATTCCTTGTTGCCTTGGGCTGAGTATGAGTGTGTCAGGGATATGGTGCTAAAACTGGTTCCACATTATGCGATAATACAATCAACCTTGCACCTGTGTTGAAATTGGAATTTTTGAAACTTTCAATTCGGATATTGTAGCGGTTTTCTTTCTCAATCAGTATTCGATGTTAATTCAGTGATGATCATGGAGGGAAAACTTTTATGAATTATTCTTTGATTGTGGTTTTGTGCTAAGTGCGAAGCTCGCTCTATACATTGCGTTAATAAGTTAATATCCGAAGGCTTCGATGGACTTCTTGTGGGCTCTGGATGGCAGTCGTGAGTCAGTCAAGTGTCAAGTCCAGTCGGCGGAAAAGAAGGAGCTCCGGTGTGGGGAGCAAACAACTTTCCTATGTATACGTTGCAGATATCGCTAGCACTATCTTGCAGTAGTCCTGATGGTGGAAAATACTCGTTATAATACCATTATGCTGTGCCCTCCCCCCCCCCCTCCCCGGTTGTAGACCTGTACAGTGAAAATCAACAGTAATTCATGGAATTGGGCCTATGTCCATTCCTTTCGCTACTTTTATATGTCTTTAAAGGAATGATGCCTGCGCCACTCCACTTCTATTCCCATTTGCTTAAGCTGCATATTATAGTTTTAAAACTTGCCAATTTTCAAGTCACTGTCTAATGCACTTACCTAACTGATAGCAAATAACGTGAAAGGCCCTTGGAGGATTCAGATATGAAATCGGCCCTATATTGGAGACAGACCTGACGTCCGGCAGGGCATGATCATGATTTAGCCATGCATTGTAGCCGGTTGCAGCTGTTGCACACAAGCTGAGCTGTGGGGCAAGTAGTTGCATGTTCTTGTTCTCGCGGGCGCACAGCCTTTTTGCAGAGTAATAATTCGGCGTCGTGGTTAAAAGGCCCACAACCATGACATTTATCTTATCTATGCCATATTTACAGATTTTGTAGGCTGTATTAGAAATGCGTGCACAGACATAGATGAAGAAAAGAGAGCACGATAATGCACATGTTAGAGAATTCTTGCCCATATCATGTCAAAGATCACACAGCAGACCATCAAAATGCCCGCCCATCCGATCGCAAGCAACGCGTGCACAAACAATGGTGTAGTAACTGGCCTTTCTCCACCTGCTCCCAGTCCCGTGCCATCTCCACACTTATTCCAAGGGACGACGATAACTACATTTAGAAGACTGTTTATTGACACGACGACGAAACACAACTAGACAAGACGAACTCAGGACGAAGACTACTTTTTACACTACCGCAACACGCGCATGCGCCAACATGATGTACACGCGACGTACACAAAATAACGTACTATACGATAGAAAGTCCGTCTACTACACTGCTCCCCTCTCAAATAATTTTCCGTCCTCGGAAAACAAACAAGAACATAACACAAAAATTAATGTATACACTGCTGCCTCATCAAAAGGCTGAATCGTTCCTGATTCAAAAAATAATAACAGAAGAAAATAGATCACACTAGCCACGCGAGCATACCACACCAATCACCCAAAAATGCATCGCAGCAAAACACAGCAGCCAGAGACCATCTGCCATTCACGCAGGACCTGATAAACATAAAAACCCTGTCTGCCCACCAACCAGACCTTCAGCTCACTCGCTGGAACACAATCGTGGGAAATGCATACAACATCACACTCGCGCCACCTCACCAATCACGCAAAAATTCTAAAATGTAAGAGGACAAAATAATAAGAAGAGAGCAATAAAGTAAAACCCACGAGCTGCGATCTGTGGAAGCGGCTTTAGTACTCATCATCTCGGATGAAGGGCAAATAAGAAAATGACCCTCGTCCTCGAGGAGAGCAACTGATAAATAAACGAAAAAAATTGAGGAGAACAGCAAATACAAAACTCACGCCGTCTACCATGCCGTCCACCATCTCAAGGAGTGCTGCTCAGCGTCGACATCCTCACGTCTGGGCACAGTTTTACGTCGTGTCCGGGACCATCCATCCTTCCTTTTCTTTTCCTTTTCTTCTGGGCACAGTTTTACGTCGTGTCCGGGACCACCAGGGACGACGACTGACAAGAGACGGGAGAGGCGAATGATGAAGGACGAGGACGACGGACGAACTTCTTGAAGACTGACGAAACTGTGACGATAGGACGACCGGAGATGACATCGGAAACTGGGAGCGAAGGCCACGCAGGACGAATCCAGAAGTTGATGTTGACAACAATTTCCATCACCGCTGCCACCAATGTAGTAACTGGCCTTTCTCCACCTGCTCCCAGTCCCGTGCCATCTCCACACTTATTCCAAGGGACGACGATAACTACATTTAGAAGACTGTTTATTGACACGACGACGAAACACAACTAGACAAGACGAACTCAGGACGAAGACCACTTTTTACACTACAGCAACACGCGCATGCGCCAACATGATGTACACCGCGTGTACATCATGTTGGTGCATGCGCGTGTTGCTGTAGTGTAAAAAGTGGTCTTCGTCTTGAGTTCGTCTTGTCTAGTTGTGTTTCGTCGTCGTGTCAATAAACAGTACACAAAATACACAAAATAACGTACTATACGGTAGAAAGTCCGTCTACTACAAATGGCAATGTTGTTGTGAGTTTGTCATGGCTAGTTGTGTTCCCGTTGCCTTGTCACAAATAATTATAGTCATTAAAATGTAGTTGTCTCGTCGTCCATTTCCTGAGTGTGGAGATGGCACTGGGCTGGGAGCACGTGAAGAAAGTCGAATACAACATTGGTGGCAGCGGTGGTAGAAATAACATTGTGGATCCGTCCTGCGTGGCCTTCGCTCCCAGTTTCTGATGTGATCTT